GGATCCCTCGGCCGCCCGGCTGCTCGGACCGGGCCCGTCCGCTCACCTGCTCTACCTGGAGAGTAGGGGTGAAGGGCGGCGTCTGCAAGACCGACATTCCCCCCGTGCCCGGCCGCCACCGCAACGGGGGTACACGCCCGTCTCCCCTGAGACCTGGAGCCACGCGTGCCATGGCCACGGGAGGACTTGCTTGACTTTATTTCGCCCCAGGCGCCCTTTGAGCGTCAGGGTAGGTGTTTGCAGGAGGAGGAGCGAGAGGGCGGGACAGTTCTGACTCCTAGGGAGTTGAGTGCGGGACCTGGAGGCTCGCTCCCGGTTTGAATCCTACCCTGGCCAGTGTTCTCCCCTTCGTCCAAACTTGGTTTTCCTCCACACACCCACACCCCCTTCAGCTCTCTCTTGACGACCCCCCCCCCACACACACACACACACTATAGCCGGTGTCCTCCAGCCAGTCCGTGGGCAGACGCGGTTCCTCGAGTGCAAAGGCTCAGCCTGCCAGCCAAGCGTGAGGAACTGCCTCCTCGCGTGCTGGGCTGAGTGGCAGGACTTGTTACTGGAAAGCACTCTGTGTGCTCTCACCTGCAGCTCACTTGCTCGTGAGCAGTGCTCTTGGGGTTTCACCGGCACCTTTTCTTCCCAATGAGATGGCTCCTGCCACATGCCTGCTGGAACAGCGCTCATCTCGGATGACGCATGGGCAGGAAGGAAGCTCCCAGGCCGGCTAGGGGACCAGTTTAGATACCAACGCATACAGTGCATCTCCCGCTTAGCGGGGGGTATCGGAGATGGTTACTTCCGTGTGTGTGTGTGTGTGTGTGTGTGTGTGTGTTTGTGTTTAGTGTTGATGGCCCAGACAATCGTGGAGCCTTTCAGGAACAAGAAGGAATGGTGCCAAGGAGTCAGTAGCTCCCTTGGTTTTCCCACCTCTACACTTGACTTTCGGGGTCAGATAATACTTTTTCAGGGGGGATGTTTGACAGCATCGCTGGCCTCTTCCCACTCAGATGCCAGTAGTACCCCATCCCCCCAACGGTATCACAACCAAAAATGTCTGGAGACGACCCCGGTTTAAATGTTGCCTCTGGTAATGGTCCTTAGCGCTCTCAAGGCCAAGGAGCTCAGGCAGCCCTTTGTTGGAAGGGCCACGCTCCCCAGGAGGCAACTACAGTTCCTGCTAGAAGCATCTCAGCTGTTGGAACAGCATTAGGAACAGTGGAATGTAAGCCCAGGCAGCTCTGTGATTTACAAACATACGTTCTTTCTTCAATAAATGTTATGGCTTTCACAGCGGAAAAATAAAAGTATCTCAGCTGCCCTCTGAAGCCTTACGCAGCATACTGAATGTCAAAAGTGGGTTTTTACATCACCCAAGTATATCAGCCAAAATAATGTTTAAAATAAATTTAGTCGCGGGGAAAATAAGACAAATCCAGATTGAGAGATTATCTGGGTAATCTAGTTCCACCGGACTCTTTAAAAAGTCAGTATCAAGGAGAACAGAAAAGTTAGAGAACCGCTCCACAGGGGACCACCAGCAAATCATCCTGCAGCTGGTTGAAGGAAAGAAGCTATGAAGGACATGGGGGCAGTTGGAGAACTTTGTGTGAGAATATGCATTAGACTAGAGAGTATTGTGGAATCATTAAGTGTTTTCGTGTTGTGATGGCTGTTGATGAGAGTGCCTTATTATTCGGAGACGTGTGTGCTGAATTATTCAGTCAAGAGTTCTCCTGGCTACAACTTTCAAATGACTCAGAAGCATCTATTTTATAGAGACACTAGGGGCCCGGTGCACGAAATTCGTGCACTGGGGCTGGAGGGGGGGGAAGTGTCCCTCAGCCCAGTCTGCCCCCTGTCACATACGGGGAGCCCTCAGGCGTTGCCCCCCACCAATCTCCAAGCGCAGGCTCGCCCCCGTGCCCAGACCTGACGCCTCTCCCAGAGGCGTCAGGCCTGGGCAAGGGCGGAGCCAGTGAAGGGGGGGCAGGGGGGGTCCCCTGCCCCGGCCTGAATCCTAGGCCCGAGGCATCAGGCCTGGGCGGGGGGCGAAGCCGGGGATTGGGGGGATATGATGGTCCCCTTGCCCAGGCCTGAGGCCTCTGGCAGAGGTGTCAAGCCTGGGCAGGGGACCCCCCCTGCCCCCCCTTCCCTGGCTCCACCCTTGCCGAGGCCTGATGCCTCGGCCAGAGGCATCGACCCCCATCACCCTCCGATCTCCTGATCGGCCCCTTGCCCAGGCCTGAGGCCTCTGGCAGAGGTGTCAAGCCTGGGCAGGGGACCCCCCCTGCCCCCCCTTCCCTGGCTCCACCCTTGCCGAGGCCTGATGCCTCGGCCAGAGGCATCGACCCCCATCACCCTCCGATCTCCTGATCGGCCCCTTGCCCAGGCCTGAGGCCTCTGGCAGAGGTGTCAAGCCTGGGCAGGGGACCCCCAGCTCCCTGCGATCTCCCGCTCTGCCCCTGCCCAGGCCTAACTCCTCTGCCGAGGTGTCCGGCCAGTGCAGCGGGGACCCGTAGCTGCAGCGGTCCCGTGATCGTGGGCTCCGCTTTAGGCCCAGGCAAGGGACCCCTAGCTCCCGGGACTGCCAGCTTCGACTGTGCCCAGCTCCCATCGCTGGCTCCACCCCTACTTCCTGCTATCACTGGCCAGGGCTGCAAAGGCGCCCGATTCTTCGATCATGGCTGCCCCCCAGCTCTTAGCTCCCGCCTGGGTTTCTAATCACTGTCAGTGGCAGGGGGCTTCTTCCTGCTTTCCCTTTCGCCTCCCTGCATTGTGCCTACATATGCAAATTAACCGCCATCTTTGTGGCAGTTAACTGCCATCTGAGTTGGCAGTTAATTTGCATATAGCCCTGATTAGCCAATGAAAAGGGTAGCATCGTACACCAATTACCATTTTTCTCTTTTATTAGTGTAGATAAAGCAGATGCAACAAAGGGTTAACAGAACTGGGTGATGGGTATATGTGTGTTCATTGAGCCATTTCTTTACAACTTTTCTGAAAAATAATTTTTTTTTTCAAAATAAAATAACAGAGAAATGCAAAATACTAGCAAACAGAATTTTATTTTGTTGCAATCTCTTAGTCAAGTTTTGGTATCGGTCCCATAGCCCTGAAAAAAAAAAGTTGTGAAGTATTTCCTTCTCTTCTATTTTTTTTTAAAGCGCTTGTGTATTATTGACATTGTTCCTTCCTTAAATATTTTATTGAATTGACCAATAAAGCCCTCTAGACCTGGGCCTTTCTAATAAATGGAAGAAATTTGATTCTAAATTAAATTTCTTTATAGATTTGGGGCTGTTTAGATGTTCTTATGTCATATTTGCTAATTGTATTTTTCAAGGAATTTGTCCAAGCTGACATGTCTTTTTTCTTTTTTTTAATATATTTTTATTGACTTCAGAGAGGAAGAGAGAGGGAGAGAAAGAGAGAAACATCAATGATGACAGAGAATCAACAATTGGCTGCCTCCTGCATGCCTTCCACTGGGGATTGAGTCTGCAACCCGGGCATGTGCCCTTGCCTGGAATCAAACTCAGGACCCTTCTGTCTGCAGGCCGATGCTCTATCCACTGAGCCAAACCAGCTAGGGCTGACTTATGTCTTGAATGTGGGTTATAGACCAAAAGATGGATAGGCATTTCAAGCACAGAGAGTTGCATGGTCAGAAGTATGGAGTGAGTTCAGGTGTGTGGGTATAAGTAGTAGTTGCTAGAGCGTGAAGTGGTAGAAACAGATATTGACACCAAACTGTAGACAGGCTGCTCTGAGTCCTCTTTTCAACTATGCCTTGTCCTTGGGCCTTGACCTTGACCTGCCTAGTCCAGCTGTAGCCAAAATCCTGTTGAGTCAGTTGGGAGAGAATTCCTCACCCTTGCTTTCCTAGATTCCATTGCTAGGCCTATGAAATATATACTGTCACATTATCAGGAGAAAAGGCATACAAATGTATTCATTTTTTATTATATTTTTTATTTGTATTACAACTGTACAAATGTATTCATTTTTAATATTATATGCATGGAGGCATCATAGGAAAAAGACCCCAAAAAAGCAGTAAGAGCTTATCCACCCAAAGCATAGGTGATATGGGCTTCTTAGGAGAGAGTGAGGGATATTTTTTAAAAAGATGACGGGGCCTTAGAACAGATGGGAAGTTTGGGACAAACTGTCTGGATGAAGTGGTGACTTCTAGTCTCCTCTCCTAGTGGGTGGAACTCCCAGGGAGGGGATGTAGGACAACAAAATTCTTTTTGGAGGATCTGTCTGTAGGTGAATCAGTGAAGTTCAGAGAAGGGCTCTCCTAGCATTTGCTGTTTTGCAAGTGCCTTCAGCTCAAAATAATCAATATATACCAAAGTGCATATTTTGGGTGGTATGTCTTGAATTTCTTTAGTATCTGTTTACCTGTGTGTCCTTGATTTCTGACCATCCCAGTCTGTCTTCAGCAAGAATCCTGTTATAAGTTTATGTAATAGTAATAATTTTCTAGTTTATAAGTTTGTAATTTTAGGGTGAACTCTAGAGTTACATATTAAGGGTCAGACTTGACCACTTAGGTAACCACCTCCCTGTGGGTGTGTGACATAGATAAAACTTAGCCCAAATTCCTCCTGTACTCCACCCATAGGAATGACACATGTTACTGATAACCAGCTTGTACCCTGATTAACACTTGTGTGATGACATATGTTACTGATAGCCACCTGGACTGCCGTGGGCCAGAACAGGCTTAAAAATGGGTCCCCGACTTCAGACATCGATCATCCTCCTGATCCACACTCCACGCTGCCTGGCTCCACACCGGAAGGCAGAAGAACGGTCGGACCTCTGATCGTGAGACTTCGGTTGCCCTCCTCCCGCTGACTCAACCCAACCAGACAGCCAGCCACCCAAAGATGGATCCGCCGCTGCCCGCAGAGGGTGCCACTCTTCCCCGGGGCCCCGGTTAAGTCTGAGTCCACGGCACCAGGTACCTTGTGATTAATAAAGTGTGCTGTGTGATTTGCAACTGCATATTCTTGTGTGGCGTAATTCCTCTGCAGTCTTAACTATATTAATGAAAGGCCAGATGATAATGCCTATCCTCGGTCCTGCTTGCTTAGAGTAGTCTCTTCGCTAGCAACTACTTCATGCTGAGCTCCTGCACAGTTAAGCTTACCTCAAGGGACGCCTTGGATTGCGCCCCACATACTATACTCGGACAGTTTAGCAAGAATTCCCCACCCTGGATGTCTCCTCTTAGGGATTCTCCTAGCATTGACCATCCCC